CTCGAGAGAAAGTCTTATTAACTTGCATTCTACATACACATTAAACACACATCTAAATCACATCACTCTATGAAAAAAAATACCCAATTTACACCTGGTTGTTTAACTTACTTTAAATGTCATCAGCCCAACATGTGTGAAAAATAACAAGTCCAAAGAAACAAATTGAAAAACAATTTGTCGTAATAGTTTCCAGTGTTTTGCAAGTTATCTTAAGCATATGTACTCACAAAATCACTAAAAACACAGGAGAACTGATACACTACTGCTGATTGCCGTCTGTTGTCCCTACAGTTAAACTCTTTAATCATTTACTATATTTAAAATTTACGAACTTTGAAGTTGAAAAGGTAATATTAATATAATGTTATTATATACTCGGCAGCTGTAAATTACTATGAAGTACAGGACTTTAAGATTATTTGAAAAACTGGTGCAAATGCTTGATTGGACAGCAGTTGTCAACATCCAGGACACCAAGGGAACTGAAACTTATGATACAATGTTCATGTGCATAACATAATCGAACATGAACACTTATAATTTAGTATCTTCACATTCAGTTCATCTTAAATCTAAATATAACAAAATAGCTGAGTATGAGGAGACATTTTCAATCATGTGTGTTATTCAAGAGTGAGAAATTAATTTCTCTACAAATATTGATATCCTCCGTAATACAACAAAATATCTGTATTTCTGATGGCTCCAGGAATGTTCAACTTGGAATTGCAATTTCCTGATTTAATAACGATTTACAATGATCACGTTCACATATACAGTACATTCAATCTTTTTTTATTAGGCAGGCTTTAGCATTGTCTAGGTAGGGATGGCTCGGATTTTTCATCGAAAAGTCATCCCTACATTTACTTCCTTTTCTGAAAAGTTTGTTCTTTACTTGTATATATTTACGCTCTCTATATTAGTGACCATTATTTTTCAACCCGCACGTGTGACTTTATTAAAATCATTCACAATACTACTAATAATTGTCTTAAAAACTCATTTTTTAAATTAAATTTTATATACCATAAAAGAGCGTTTCTTAGGAAATAATCCGTGATCCAAAAGGTGGCATGGGAGAGGTCCAGAGGCTAGCTATCTCACACTTTAAATTCTTCTGAATGTGTAACATTTGATTTGGAGCCCCACAACTCGTTGATTATTTACCAATTAGTAAAATGCTCTTTGGTAGATAACCTTTAGGCCATACTGTAGAGGTGGCTGAAACAAAATTAAATTATATATATATTGTAATAAACCTTATTATGTTACAAATTTAATCATGTTTAAGTCATTTCTAGTTTTCATACGTGGATCCAAGTTTTTAGTTCTGCTTGTAAATGCTTCTTCAACTTGCCATAATACGAGGTAGTTGACAAATTAACAGTTTTTAAAATTAGCTTTTTTGTAACATCTCAACCAACAATTGGTACAGTTATCAACGCTATTTTCAAGTTTTGAACAACTCGAGTTTCAAGATCTACGTATCTACATGTGCCGATGTTTCAGTTTATCAACGTTATATTTTAAGATCTGTGCAAGAACTCAGCTAACAGATGTTCCCGCATATAAAAGCTATCTTCAAGTTTTGTACACCAAAAAACTTTTCAAGTTTAAACATGTGTAAGCTTTGTTTATCGTATTACTTTCTAATCCCGTTTTTCAATTGTTGATATTTATACTTATGAACTTTGTTAACGGTTAATAAAGTTTTTAATCTTCTGCATATTTTGCCGTTTCAGTTGTTTAACTTTGTTAACAGTTAATAAAGTTTTAATCTTCTGCATATTTTACCGTTTCAATTGTTGATACTTATATACATGAACTTTGTTAACAGTTAATAAAGTTCTTTAATATTCTGCATATTTTGCCGTTTCAGTTGTTTAACTTTGTTAACGGTTAATAAAGTTTTTAATCTTCTGCATATTTTACCGTTTCAATTGTTGATATTTATACCTATGAACTTTGTTAACAGTGAGTAAAGTTCTTTAATCTTCTGCATTTTTTTAGCAGAGCCAAAAGAAATTTTTAATTGATATTTAAACTATTTTCTCTAAACAAATGCTGATCTATCACTAAGTATAAATTAGGGATGATAAAAAAGTCTCATAATTAGTAATTGTAATCAAACAAACTGTTTTCTAATCTGAACCTACGTATTTCCAATAATTACCCATCGTTATAAAACAATTATCTATACCCACACAAAGAAAATATATGTTTTAAAGAGGGGGGGGGGGTAGGACAGGGGTATATAAATCCCGACTCTCGCATTTTTACTCATATACCGCACTCAGCCATTTACCAAGCATCTATATTTAAGAGGCACACTAACCCGCCAACCCCCCCTTCCCCTATCACATTTTAATAAACGTAACGTTCCATAGTCTTATAACAAGTTTGTTTGATGGGCATAATAAACGATCAGAAGATCAACTGCTATTTATAAAAATACGTTTAAGCACAGATCCTTTAGTATAGAGCATTACAATTTCAAGTATTTGGTTAAACTGTCATATAAAACAATACCTAAACACGTAATATAACGACTGTTATTTGAAAGTTGTGTGTGTTAATAATGTATTGGATATACGTTTTTATACTTTCAGTTCTTGTAAGTAATCATATTATGATAAAAAATCAACGCAACAGTTTTCATGTACTGAACACAGATATGTTTGGAGTCTTATTGTTTAGCCCTCCAGTGGCACAGCGGTATGTCTGCGGACTTACAATGCTAGAATCCGGGTTTCGATACCCGTGGTGGGAGAAAGCCCATTATGTTGCTCTGTGCTTAACTTCAAACAAACAAACAAACAAAACTTATTGTTTAAGAAAGGTTTATTTTATTTACTAATCTCAGTAGCTCCCCCCCCCCCCCCAATGGCACAGCGGTATGTCTGCGGACTTACAATGCTAGAAACCGGGTTTCAATACCCGTGGTGAGCAAAGCACAGATAGCCTATTGTGTAGCTTTGTGCTTAACTACAACCAAACTAAACCCTAATTTCAGTGAAATCTTACAGGACGGCTACTTACACAGTCGGGGATAATGGACGTTTCGACTTTGTCACAAAGTCATCATCAGAAGAAACAGAAAGTCTTAACTCTAGAACATGAAACTTCAAGACTTATATTTAAAGTTAAATCTTAAGTTCATGCAACTAATATGAATGAAGAACGACAAAGTTTTGTTTCATTTTATGTAATACTAATATCTGAGTAATGTTCATTAAAAGTAATTACCTATATAAATAAAAATAGTAAATAAATCATCATATAGTAGGACTTTCAAATTCGATGACGAGGAACCCACTTTGAGACTAATAATGGCTGGAGAC